TGCCTCATCTCCTGCCTGCCTCTGGCCCTCGTGGACACGCACACCCCCTCCCCAGTGCTTTGTGTGCATGTAGGAGGCACCTTTCAATCCCTTCTTCCACATCAGCTCCTTCTGGGAACTCAGCAGCTCCTTCTCGGAGGCATTTGATGGCTTTGATGAGGGAATTATTCTCTGCTGATGGGAACAGGCTGACACAGAGCCCACACAAGGCACTGCAGTGCTGACCAAACCTCGGGTCGGTGGTCTGAGCAAGGCCATGGTTGTTGTTTGCATCACTCTTACCCATGCAAGACCCCAAATTCCAGCCCAAATTGCTCCCCTGGATTGAAAGCCACCCACTCCATCCCTTGTAGGGATTTCCAGCCCGTGGGTCCCCCCAAGCCCACCAGCCTTGCAATTCCAGCTGCTTTCCACTGGAAATCCGTAGCAGAACTCATCCTGCTTCCTGCAAGGCTGGGATTCCTAATCTCCCCGGGTTTCTTTTCTCGTGTATAATGAGGATTACGGTTTAATTCCTGCCTCACAAGGGGGTGCTGTGGGGATTGCCGGGGTTAAGGCACTCAGACAGCACCGAAAGGCTCTTACAAACCCTCCAGCAGAGGGGCTGGGGAAAAACCCCCACTGCTGTTTGCAGCCTGCTCGCAGCTCGCATCAGCTCCCATTAACTGGGAGGCAATTTTCTCCCCAGTTCAGACTTAATTCCTCCTCTAACCGCTGGCCCTATCCAGAGAACAGCAGGGCAGCAAGGACTATCAGTGCTGAATTGCCTTTTAAAATAGGATGGTCTGAGGAGTGGGAGCTGCCTGTGCAGGGCACGGGTGGTGTATAGATGTGAGTTCATGCAGGAGGCTGCATCAGGAGAGCTCAGAAGCGAAGCCAAGTACAGAATCAGCTCGGGAAGCTCTCTGCACTCTGATCCCCCTTGCTGGCTGTGCCACAGACGCATTATGTGTGTTTACAGATGAAAAAAGCAAAAATAAAACTGATGCCGGCTTTAAAATTCCACCGAGCGCAGCCTTCTGCACTGATTCCAAATGTTTATAAACATGGGAGTTAATGCAATCAGCACTGCAGCAAATACACACCAGGTACGAGGCGGAGACAGGAGTGTCAAGCGCGCTCCCAGCCCGGAGTGACAGCTCTCTGCTGTGGGCTCTGCAGCAAACAAAAGCAGCTGAAAAACCCCACCGAGGAATGCTTTAAAGAGCAACCCCTTCCCCCCTCCTCCTCCCCTCCTTCCAAGACTTTCTGGCAGTCAGAACTGTAAAAATCTCGGAGAAGGTGTCCATTCCCACTGAGCCTTTCAAGTGGCAGGGAAGAGGCCACTGCTTGGGAAGGCACTGGGGGAATTCCTGGCTCCCCTGAGGGCCATCCATCAGCCCAGCCCTGGTTCTGTGCTCGTTCCACAGCAGCCAGGAGCTGCTTTAGAAAGATTTGGACAAGTCTGACTCCAGGAACTGTTCCACCCTGGGGAAGGATGTGCATCAGCTCGCCAGGGAAGGTCCCATCCAGAGGAGCTGTTCCAGTGCAGAGTCCTCACCAACCCCTCATCCAAATGAGTGGTCCCAGTGCCAGCCCCATCCCAGCCCCATCCCAACCCCATCCCAGCCCCATCCCAACCCCATCCCAACCCCATCCCAGCCCCATCCCAGCCCCATCCCAACCCCATCCCATCCCAGCCCCATCCCAACCCCATCCCAGCCCATCCCAACCCCATCCCAACCCCATCCCATCCCAGCCCCATCCCAACCCCATCCCAACCCCATCCCAGCCCCATCCCAACCCCATCCCAACCCCATCCCAACCCCATCCCAGCCCCATCCCAGCCCCATCCCAACCCCATCCCAGCCCCATCCCATCCCCATCCCATCCCCATCCCATCCCAACCCCATCCCATCCCCATCCCATCCCCATCCCATCCCCACCCCATCCCAACCCCATCCCAACCCCATCCCAGCCCCATCCCATCCCCATCCCATCCCCATCCCATCCCCATCCCATCCCCACCCCAACCCCATCCCAACCCCATCCCAGCCCCATCCCAGCCCATCCCAACCCCATCCCAGCCCATCCCATCCCATCCCATCCCATCCCATCCCAGCCCCATCCCAACCCCATCCCAACCCCTGCCTGCTGCCCAAAGGCCACATTTGCCAGTGGGAAGGGTTTGGGGAGGTCTCATTCCAGCAGGTTGCTGAGGAGACGTTACCTCACACGGCAGCATCAGCAGAAAACCCCAGTGCCGGCGGAACAGCCAAAGTGCTGGGAGGACAAAACACTGCAAGCCTGTTGTTTTTTTTTTTCTTTCTTTTTTTCTTTTTTTTTTTTCCCAGCCAAATGTTGTTTCATGCTCTAATGGCGATTTTCAAGAGCAATATTGGCGTGACAACTTATGTAAGTGTGGGCCAAGCTCCTCCACCACTTCCAGGGTCTGTGCCTAAACCAGATTTCACAGGGGTGCACAGAAAAGGCTGTGGATCTCTGTTTTGGTAGCTATTTGCCACCTAAAATGAGACTTTTACCACCCCTAAAACCCAAGGAGAGGGTAAATATTGCAGTTTTAGAAATTATTTTCCTTGGAGAAGGTGGGATTCCTCACAGCCCAGTTCTATCTGAGGCACCAGGTGGGTTGTTTTTTTTCTCTCTTTGTTTCTAGTGGAACACATTTAGAGATTTATGGAAGGGATTTCTGAGTCTCACAATGGTTCCTGTGTTCCTGCAGTAGGAACCTTGAAATTCCCTGTCTTATCATTGCAGGCACCACAACCAGGGCTCCTTTTCCACATCTCTGGCTGGGATCAGTTTTAGGAACCCACTTTTGTGAGGGGTAGAATAAGGAAGTAAAAAATGGGCTTAAAGCAGCTGATTGAGCAAAGCAGGAGGCAACTCCCCCAGCCCCTCAGAGGCCATGCACACAGAGACCTCCCCAAAATAAAAACAATATAAAGTATGATGCAATTAAATATGTTACATATTATGATCTTCCTCCCCTAGAAATAACAAAAAACTGCCAAACTAAAGCATTCTGCTCCTGCCTCTCCTGCTCATGCACAAGTTCCCTCGGGCTTCACGGAAATTTTGGACTCACAAAATGCTGCAGAACAGGGGCCCCCATGGCACTGTGTAATAAATCTTAGAAGTTAACAGCCAGAACTGTGCCAAATGTGATGGGTTTTGCTTTGTGCAGGATCATGAAAATAATACATTCTGGCTCAGTAAGTCAGGCCTCATGCACCAGGACTAATGGTCCACTGCTGCTGCTGCTGCTGCTAAATGGATTTACATTTTTGTCTCACATGGTTGAGGTCTGTGATTTGGGAGGCCAAGGCACCAAGGCTTTATCAAATCTCCCCAGATTCTTGAAGGGAAATGTGAATTTTCAGCCCATATGTGGGTTGAAATGCCACCTGAAATGCAGGAAGCTTAAAGCAGGAGCGTTGAGGTGTGGCTGCCCCACAGATCTCAGGGATGTCAGCTCAGGTGCAGTGACAACAGAATAAGAAAGGGGAAGAGAAAGGGGAATGTAACACTAGGAATAATGTAAGCTGGAACATTGTTAATGTGGGGAACTCCATGGTAACTCAGAGAGAGCTGCCCAGGGGAACAATGTCTCATAGGAGGTATCTCTTTAATGGAGTTGGGAAAGGAAATAATGAGATTTTATGGATTAAAACTGAAATTAGACAGATAAACACTCCACGGGCAGGAAAACCAACCAGCAACAAGGATGCTGGGAACCCCCCATCGCCTGCCTGTCCACAAGGATGGGGGGTTGCACTCCTAAGCTCAGGGCTGCAGCTTTAGAGAAAAGGCAGGAGGCAGAAATCATCAGTTCAGCAGCCTCAGCTTCACAGGCAGGATGTCCAAAGGAATCCCAGCGGCCTTACAGTCTGCGAATCTATTAACTAAACCTCATTACTACGTAATAACTTTTGTTATTTCGGAACAAACCTTGTATCTGCCTAATCCGCTTTGTTACAGAGCTGCCCATCCTTCCCTCGAACAGGAATTAACTTCTAAAGGAATTAAAAGGAGGAGGAGACTGCTGAAGGGGTCCTTAGGGGTATCTTTTTATAGCTGCTGGCTGCCCCCCGCCTTTCCCTTTCCCACTATGTGTGGTATCCTTCCCCACTGATTCCATCCTTTTCTGCCTGCCAGGCATTGATTTGTTCCTGTGTCGTTCTAATGGAGCTTGAAATCAACATGACTTTGTTGTTGGTTGTTGTCATTGTTGTTCACATCTTTGTTTGGGGTTCAGCATCCTTGCAGAGGCCAGGGCAGCTCGGGAGCCGGCATTAGCAGGCTGAGCACCTTCTTCTCGAGAGATCCACAAAGGCTGCGGCTGTGTCCACATAATAAAGGCTGCTCCAAAGCTCGGCGAAAGCGCTGCCCCCTCCTCCCGTGCATCACCTCCCGTGCCAGTTCTGCATCCCCTCGCTCCTCAGCGCGCACAGAGGGTGGTCACAACGAGCTCCTTCCTTCAGCAACCCCAGGAAAACGCTGTGCTATCCACATCCCAGCCCTTTCGGATTGCCGCTTTAGCTTCCACGTATTTCCCTCGCATCGCGCAGGGTGAAAAATGTGCTCGGCTTGGGAGGTGCGTGTCGGGCACTGCCAGAACCGCGGCCCGGGCGCGTTCGGGAGTCCGAAGGGAATTCAGGAACAGCCTCAAGTCCACAAGCGGCGTGCGGCGAGGCAGGAGCACCTCCGCCAAGCCACGGCGAGGCGCCCCGGGCTGCGCGGCGGGGCCGGACGCGGCGAAACAAAGCCCAGCTGCTTCCAGCTGCCAACATCCGGAGGGGCGGGCGGCCAGCCCGGCCACCCGTCCCCGGGAGCGGCCGGGAGAAGGGTTAACGCTGCTCCCTCCCTCCGCCGAGCGCTGACATCACGGGCCAGGCCCCGCCCGCCTCTGTGTGCGTGAGTGCGAGCGCGGCCGCCGAGCCCCGCACCGGGCACCGCACCGGGCACCGCACCCGGGCACCCACCCGGGCACCCCCGCCCCGCGGCCGGCCCGGCCCCGCGCCCCCCGCCCGGCCATGGAGCGCCGCGCCCGGCCCCGCACCGGCACCGCCTGAGCGCCGCCGGGGCCCCAGCGCAGGGCGGGCAGCGGGCGGGGGCTGCCGAGCCCCTCCGCCGGAGCCACGGCACGGCCGCAGCCCGCCGAGGGCTCTGCCTCGCCGCTCTTTATTTGTTTTGCCTCCCCTCGTTCTTTTTTGTCAGGGGTTTCTTTTGGGTGATTTTTTTTTTTTTACACTCTCTCGCTCTTTTTTTTTTTTTTTTTTTTTTTTTTTTTTTTTTTAATCGCATTTTTCCACCCTCCCTTTCCCTCGTCACTCGCCCGGGCTCTGCGGAAGGAAGCGCCCGCGCTGCCCCGCGGCCGGAGCGCCCCGCGCCCGCCCAGAGGGACCCCGCGGATGTGCGGAGCTCCCCCCGGAGCCCTCCCGCCCTCCCGCCGCCTCTTTGTCCTCACCCAGCCACGATCTTATTTTTATTTTCATTTTTATTGAATTTTTTTTTTTTTCAAGCAGACCTGAGCATCACCGGGGGCTGGGAGGGTGGGGGGGCCCCGCGGCGCTGCCAGACCGACCCCTGCCCATCGCTCTTAAGGAACTCTCATGGCTTCACGGCTGCAGACAAGTTGCCGTGCATCGTGCTGGACTATCGGAGTTTGCATCCTGGCAGCCGCGCTCCTACCAGGTGAGCCGGTCCCGGAGGGCGCTGAGCTCCGCCGGGGCGCTGCGGGGCTGGAGGCAGCCCCGGCGGGGCTTTGCGGGGTGCCCGCGGGGGAAAGGGGGTGCGGAAGGGTGGGATCGGCGTTTTGGGGTGCGCGCCCGGCTCTGGAGCAGGTGTGGGAGCATCTGTGCGAGGCTGGGAGAGAGCCGGGGCCGCTTTCAGCGCTCGGAACAACACGCTCGTTTGTTTTGGAAGCAGCTGCAGGCAGCGGGCTCCGGAGCCCTGCGAGCCGAGGCCGTTTGTTTGCTTTTTGGATCGAGCAGCGTCTAGCGAGCCGCAGCAGCCAGGCTTCCCCGGAAAGGCAGCCACGAGGCTGGGCACGGAGCGCAGATGTTTCGGGAGGAGGGATGGAGGGTTTGGGCTCTCCAGCATCCCCAAAATCCCCGTTCCCCTCCGCACGCACTTCCCACGGGCTCCTTTGCGGAGGGGCTGGACCGCTCCCAGCTTTCAGCGCTGCCTTGGAGCTTGGCTGCCTGATGGCATCTCGTTCATCCCTTTGGTTCCGATCCATCGCTTGCGTTCTGATCCATCTCTGGAACGGAGGAGATGGGCAAAGATGCGCAAAGATGCTGGCTGGAGCCACCCGGGCGGTGGCAGAGCAGTCCGTGTGTCCCTTCCCTGGGCTAGGACTTGCCCCGGGCGAGTGACCCACTTCGGCGAGTGCCCTGCGGGGACTCATTTATTCTGCTCCAGTGCAGAACGGGTTAATGCCATCCTGGAGGGCTTTCCGGGAGTCGGAGCGGTGGAAAGGGGATCGGCAGTCTGCGTTTACAGCTTGTGAATGAACGGAGAGATGCAAACAGAGCCGGTGTTTTGCCTTTTTGGGGCTCGGCTGCTGGCACGGGAGCGGATCCAGCCCGTGCCTGCAGCAGCGCTGGGATTGCAGCTGGAGAGAAGTGGCGGGGAAGGCAGGGTGGAATTGCGTCCTCTCCTCCCATATTAGCGTCCCGGAGGAGGCTGGCTGGGCTGGGACACTGCCATGTGGCCCCAGCGAGCGAGGTTTGGGCCACCGGAGCAAATGCCAGGGCCCAGAGTTCCAAAAACGGGGATGCGATAACATCAGGACACGGGAGATCAACAGATCACAGCGACTGGATGGTCTGGTTAAAATGGATGAGGACAGAGATGGAATGGGAGGAGGTGGTGATCCAGAAACCGGGGAGGCTGTGAGAGGGAAGAGGTTAACAGGGTGATGAGAAAGCAGGGCTGGGTGCACCTCGGTATTCCCAGGACAAAGGGATCTGCTGTGCATTGCAAAAATAGGTGAGGAAGGGACAGCCTCGGGCTCTCTGCGCTCCTCTGTGCTTGCAGGCAGGTGCCTGGCTGAGCTCTGGCTCCTCACAAGGAGTCTCAGAACTTTCCATGCCGTCCTTCACCTGGCCATCCCTCCTCATCCTCCCACCGTGCAGGAACCTCTCCCCACAGCACAGCCCCGGGCAACTGGAGGGGCAGCAATGCTGTGAGGACTGTGCTGCCTAAACCAAAAGGACTTTGTTCTCCCCTGGGAATTGCTTTCACCAAGGAGACACGCAGTGACCCTGACACAGCCTGGCATCTCACCTTGTCCTGCCAAGAGAGACTTTTTCCCCTGCATTTCTCCTATTTTTGGCCGTTCTCAGGGCTGTGCTGCCAGCAGTCAGGCGGGTTCATCTCCTGCCACTGCAGTAGCGTGGTGGCAGTTTGTCTTGCACTGTCCCGCTGGCAGCTCTGCCAGGATGAGCCAGTGGTGCATCTCGTGGTGCCTTGCCAAGGCCGGGGTACAGCCAGCTCCGCAGTGTTCCAGGAGAAAAATCCTCCCCAAACCCTGGCCCTGAGCAGCACTGCCCTGCAGCCTGCGTGGGCGAGACTCTCGGCCCGACCAGTTTAGTGGTGGGTGCACCACAGCTGCAGGAGTGTCTGATCCTGGAGATTAAATATTCATTCAGTCCTTTTTTTCGTTCGTCTGGGTGCTGTGGATGGACCCAGAGCTGCAGGGAAGGACCAGCACAGTGCTGCACAAAGCAGAGTCTTTAGCAGAGCCCAGGTCTGGATGCCTTAGTGAGGCACGTAGTTCCTCGAGTTCACAGTGCATTGTGCCAAAATCATATGTATAAACATATATAAACATATATAAAGCTGTATTGAAGCTCTGAATACAGACCAGCTTGCTTAACAAGGAGAGGAAACTCAGGATCCTCTACTACAAGTGAATTATTAGCTGTGGACTTGTTGGAAAATGTGGTTTCATACCCAACAGTTGAGAAGAATCAGGGCAGTGCCTGCTCTCTGGGAAACCCTTCATGTCCAGCTGATCAATGCCATTTCATTCTATTCCCACCCCCCTTTCCTTCAGAAAATGTTAGCTTTTTTACTTTGCTCTGATAAGGGAATAAAAGTTCCGCCGCTGTAAAAGCTGTAAGGAGTCTCGTATAAAAATCTGCTTTACAAATTATCTTTAATGCGAGCAGTTCAATCGTCCAGAACGGGTTCAATTCGTGGCTCCTGCAGCCTTCCATGCCCATCCATTTGGAACCAGGTATCAACTCCCGCTCCATTCAAATATTGATATCAACAGGGGTTACAGAAAGCCGTGGGGGAAGGGGAGGAGATATCCCAGGCAGCCGATCTGCAGAGGTTAAGAACACTTGCATTTAAATTTATGCTTCACAAGCCTTAACAATCTGTCTGTTTATCCCCACCGTGGAGCTCCTGCAGCTTGAGATGCAGCCACACAGAGCAGAGGCATCATCTCTGCTGGTCCTGCCCCTGCACATCTGGGCCTCTGCTGCAGACAAATTCCTCTCTCTGCTATTGCTGGGCTACCCCTGATCCCCCCGAGGGCCTGGGAACACTTGGCAAAGTGCTTTGAGATGCTCCACGGGGGAGAGCAGCAGAGGTGGCTGGAGCTGCTTTGAGAGCTTGAAAGGAGCATTGAGTGAGCCCTGGTGACCCTGCAGGGCTGAGGTCAAACTTGGCTGCAGCTGGAGGGAGGGTTCATTTTGGGGAGGTACAACAGCTCTGTGGAGCGCTGGGAAGAGCCAAAGCGTGTCACAGCAGGATCTGCTCCATCTTGTACTCTCTAGAGCTGCTTTAATATCCCAAAATTGCTTCCAAAATACAAAAAAAATGTTGCCAGAGTCTCTTTCAGGCTTTGGGTTGAGTTCTTGGTTGTTATTTTTTGCTTCCCCCGCCACCTGCCTCCTCCCAAAACTCACAAACAGCAGCATCAGGCTATTTCAGGAAGCAAAAGCGTGTCTTTGACTGATTTTTCTCTCTTTAAACCTCACTTAAACCGACCAGTCGGGTTTTACCCCAGCGTGAGCGGAGGAGCTGCTGCGTGTGTCAGCGTGGGTGAGGCGCCAGGCTGGGGCAGAGCAGGGGGTGTCTGCCCCATGGCACAGACGCTGTTTGCTCCCTGAACCAGCAGCAGCCATCAGGCAGGAGCTGCAGCCCTGTCCATCCACAGGGAGATTCCAGGGGCACATCCAGCACCACATCCAGTGCTTGGGGTGAGCTGGTGGCCGAGGAGCTGCTGGCAGAGCCTGGCACATCTCTCCTTGCATCACCCCTGCAGCTGGAGCAGCCACAAAAAGCCAAGCTGAAAGGGAAAGGGAGGCACCACAGGGCTCCTTTGAGCAGGGCTCACACCTCGGCTGAATCATGGAAGGAACCAGAAGAGCCGGTTGTCCATGACCTGCTTCCCAGGCCTGGCTGCCACTGGCACCTCGTGCCCTCTGCTAGTGCCACTCAGGCTGGGGACAGCCTGGGGGGACAGCAGCAAGTGGCCTCTTCCCACCTCTTCCCACCTCCAGCAGACAGGGATGGGGCAAGCGCTGCAGGAAAAAGGGGTTTAATCACAGAATCCACAACGATTTGGATTGAAAGACACCTTAAAGATCATCTCCCCCCAATCCCCTGCCTTGGGCAGGGACACTTTCCACCAGACTGGTTTGCTCCAAGCCAAAAATTTTGGGAAGAGCTGGAGCTGGGCTGTGTGTGAGGGTGGCAGGGGTGAGCTGGCCAGTGCTCAGGAGGATGGCCACAGCCCTCAGGGCTGCCCAGAAAGGGTTTGAATCTTGCAACATCCTTGCCTGAGGTGCTGGTGGCTCTTGCTCAGTCCCTTTCACAGGCCAGCCAGGCTTATCAGTGCAAAAAAGCAGAAACAAATGAGGGAGGGACAAAGAAAGGTACTCCAGTCTCCCAGCCCCTGGAGATGCTGCTTTTTCAAATAACGTCAGATTAAATCAGGGCAGCTCTGCTGAAGGGTGAGCTGGTGCCGCCAGCCACTGGAGCAGGACCCAGTTTGCATTGGAGACACCTCTTTGTGTTAATTAGCAGAGCTCAGCACGGAGAATTCCCAGCCCTGAGCCCACAGAAGAGTTTCAGGTGAAGGTTTGTTTACCTGAGGAATCAGAGGTCTCATGGCACTGGGCATTTCTCCCAGGTGCACCTTTTGCCTGGCTTCTCCCAGGGCAGGATTGGGGCAGGCTGGATTGAGGCACACACCCAGGGTTTTCCAGGGGAACCCCTGGGCTGTGGAGCAGAAGAAAATCTGCTCAAAAGCTGAAGTGGGAGAGAGGAAGGAGATTTTCCCCGCCGTCTCCTCGCCGGGTTTAACGTCCCTTTTGTGTCACACGGAGAAATGGGAAGTGAAATCTGCTGTTCTTTGCAGTGTGTGTCACTTTGTGTGCCCTGTGCTGTGTCCCAGCCCCCTTGGGGACACGTGTGGAGCCCAACTCCTGCTGCCCACTGAGTGTTTGTCCTGTCTGGGCACATCAGGGCACACCAAGAGCAGCTCCTGGCCATGGGAAGGGGAGACAGCTCCTGTCCCTCGCTGTCCCCAGCTCAGGGAGGCACAGAGGCTTGGCCAGAGGTCTCCTGGCATGCCAGCAGCTCTGTGGGGTGCTGGGGATGGCTGGGAGGAACTGCCCCAACCTGATGAACCATCTCTTCTCCATTCCCCCACCACAAAGCAGCCTCTGCAG